CAAGATGGAAATGTCTTCAACTGTAGCCCCCTCTCTCTTCACTCTGGCCAGAACAGTAGTTGGTGCTGGGGGGGGGGGGGGNGCTCCCAACTGATGATATAGGCAGGAGACAAAATGGAGCTGTCTTCTGCCCCCCTCTCTCTTCACTCTGGCCAGAACAGTAGTTGGTGCCGGGTGCAGGGGGCTCCCAACTGATGATATAGACTGGAAACAAAAGGCAGGCGGGAGCAGATACCGGCTCCAAGACTGCTTTTCGGATCAATTGCTGCATGCGTAGGACCAAAGCACCGGGGCCTGGCAGGGCCTGCAGGTGAGCACAGAGTAAGGGGTGCTCCTTATTCGGTGCTCAGCTGCAAGCACCCCAGCGTTTTGGGCCTATGCATCTGGGCCTGACAGGGCCTGCAACCGAGCACCGAGTAAGAACACCCAAAGCCTGCACCCATAGGCCTGGACGGATCTTTCAGCCGCCAAAACAGAAAACGAAAATCTGACCTCCCGATTTCAGGAGGCTCAGTCGAAACGTATCAGGGTCCCCAAAGTAAGTCGGGATGAAGGTAAGCCCCAAATGCACATGTCTAATGTAAACACTTTTGCTCAGTCCTCTGAGCTGCTCACATACAACAGCCCTGTTGAAGGGACAGTTGTCATTAAGCAGTGAAAATGGAATTTAAATATTGGTTTGAAAGGTAAACAGAGAAAGGTTATGAATATGTGCTTGTGTGTGTGTATGCAAAGATATATGAAAAATGCAATAAATCACTACAATGATCAATTATTCAAATTAACACTACAGTCCACACTATAAATAGCAGTATGAGAGACGATCCATAGGACATAAATCATTTCTTGAAGGGAAAAGGATGGTCCAAGGTCTTTCATTTCCCTTTCCTTATTCCTGTGCGTTAGACCTTACACTTTCCTTTTCTCCTGATTTAAATGGAATCGCAGCTTAGCATTTCATCGTAATATTATATTATCCACCATTGCCCTGCCCCTTGGCCGAGATTCTTTCTATAATGAACAATAATAAATCAGTCTCATTCAGCAAAGGAAACTTTCAGTGTGATTTAAATGCTTCCTGTTTCAGGATCTCCCTGCTATAGGCTGGGGAATTAGGGGAGAACTAACTGCCTTTTGAATGTGTTAGTCTCAGGGGCAGAGGGCTCATTCCGCTCAAGCAAGGGAGCCATGTTCTGAAGTCTGAAAGACCTGAGCAGGGTTGTTCATGGCAGAGTGACTTCGAGGTCTCGTATTCATAGGGTCACCATACATCAAAACTGACTTGATGGCAGTTAACAAATAGTTTAAAGCAGTGATGAAGAAACTTTGCTTTCTAGAGGTTTGGGGTGGCAGATATAGAAGGAAAGGGGACAAAAACAAGAACACAAACTTGCCATATAAACATGTGGACAATTTCAACATAAAGGAGTAAACCATGAAAATGAAGAAAACCTGGCTACCAGTTTTCTTTTTTTAAAAAAGCTCTAAAATCAGGACAGTAAAAAAGCAGGGGAATTTCAGACATAAATCAATCAGGGCCTGCTAACACCTCCAAACAAAGGATTCCCCCAGGCAGCACTCAGCCAGGCTTTGAAGCTGCAAGACCATTAAGTGCTAATCCCTATGAGGATTGGTTTAAAGAGCTGGGCATGTTTAGCCTGAAGAGGAGAAGGCTGAGAGGAGACATGATAAGGGCCATGTATAAATATGTGAGAGGAAGTCATAGGGAGGAGGGAGCGAACTTGTTTTCTGCTGCCCTGGAGACTAGGATGCGGAACAATGGCTTCAAACTACAAGAAAGGAGATTCCATCTGAACATTAGGAAGAACTTCCTGACTGTGAGAGCTGTTCAGCAGTGGAACTCTCTGCCCCGGAGTGTGGTGGAGGCTCCTTCTTTGGAAGCTTTTAAACAGAGGCTGGATGGCTATCTGTCGGGGGTGCTTTGAATGCAATTTTCCTGCTTCTTGGCAGAAGGGGTTGGACTGGATGGCCCATGAGGTCTCTTCCAACTCTAGGATTCTATGATTTTAAAAACGTCCTGACTGTGAGAGCTGTTCAGCAGTGGAACTCTCTGCCCTGGAGTGTGGTGGATGCTCCTTCTTTGGAAGCTTTTAAAAAGATGCTGGATGGCCATCTGTCGGGGTGCTTTGAATGCGATTTTCCTGCTTCTTGGCAGAATGGGGTTGGACTGGATGGCCCACCAGGTCTCTTCCAACTCTAGGATTCTATTATTCTAATCAAGGTGACCAATTGCAACATTCACGCCTGCCTCAAGCAGGCAAGAGTTCTTTCTCCTATCCTGGGCATTCCACAGGTATATAAAGCTCACTTGCTTAGTTTCCAACAGACCTCACAACCTCTGAGGATGCCTTCCATAGATGTGGATGAAACCTCAGGAGATAATGCTTCTGGAACATGTCTATGCAACCTGGAAAACTCACAGCAACCCATTGGTTCCAGCCATGAAAGCCTTCGAAAACATATAGGACTAAAGCTCCTCCACTTTTGCCTTACAGTAAATAAGACACATCTGAAGTGCTGGAGTTCCTCCGCTCCTGCTTTACAGGAAGTAAAAATTGAATCCAGATGATTAGAGAGCTGGAAGCTTTAAAGAAGTGGATTTCTTTGAAACTGTAGGCCAAAAATTGCCTAGCTTAGAGAAGTGGGAGCAAAGCAGCTAGTAAGCAGTGATAAATAGCTCACGAGGCTGCTTAACTGCCTTGGCCACACACAATTTCCAGTTCTCCAGCTAAGTTTCAAGCCTCTGCAAAAGCAAAGTCAGCCTTTCCCTTCCATCTGGTTTAAATTACTTAAAAGTGGGGAAGTTTATTCTTAACTCTGAATTGCTTTTGCATTACTCACAAGAGGAAATTCCAGGAAGAGGGCTTAGCTCCTCTCCTCTTTGGCTGCTCAGAAATACAAGTGAGCTGTTCACAAGTGGGGTGGCAGACTTTAGAATAAACTTTAGAAAGAATTCAAATGCATATTATGATAATTTATTTAGTAGGCCAGCCTAAAAGGCACAAAAATATGTGTGAACTTTCAAGAGCTCTTCATGAGGCAAAATCTTCCAAAAAGTAAAGGGGAGTAAAAGAATAAAGAGAAACTTAATTTTAAAAAATGGAGAGGATGGATTCTGCAGGCATTCAGATGAGGCTCAACCAATGAGGTTCAGTCACTACTTCACATTTGCAGGTTTAATATTCATGTATTTGGATTTCCAGATTATTTTTTGTTGTCTCTGCTGCTGTCCTACACCATTTTTAATAGGGACTTCAATACTAACAGTGTCTGTCTTGAGCTGTGTTAAGTCAGGCTTAGAAATCTGCCACGAAAGTAAAACACCAACTACAAAGGTGTTAATATCAACTAGAACAGCTTCTAGGTCAGTGTTTCTCAACCTGGGGGTCACAAGGGGGTGTCAAAGGGGCCACCAAAGACCATCAAAAAGCACAGTATTTTCTGTTAGTCAGAGGGTTCTGGGTAGGAAGTCTGGCCCAAATATATTGGCGGTGGGGTTCCCAAATGTCAAGGTCTATTTTCCCCCAAACTCTACCAGTGTTCACATTTGGGCATATTGTGTATTTGTGCCAAGTTTGGTCCAGATCCATCATTCTTTGAGTCTACAGTACTCTTTGGATATAGGAGAACTACAAATCCAAAACTCAAGGTCAATGCTCACCAAACCCTTCCAGTATTTTCTGTTGGTCATGGGAGTTCTGTGTGCCAAGTTTGGTTCAATTCCATCATTGGTGGAGCTCAGAATGCTCTTTGATTGTAGGTGAACTATAAATCCCAGCAACTACAACTCCCAAATGACAAATCAATCCCCCCCCCCCCCGCCAGTATTCAAATTTGGGCATATTGAGTATTTGTGCCATATTTGGTCCAGCCAATCAAAATATATCCTGCATCTCAGATATTTACATTATGATTCATAACAGAAGCAAAATTACAATTTTGAAGTAGCAATGAAAATAATTTTATGGTTGGAGGTCACCACAACGTAAGGAACTGTATTAAAGGGTCACGGCATTAGGAAGGTTGAGAACCACAGCTTCTAGATCTTGCTGAGAGCATGAAAGCAAAAATATAGATTCTCCGTTTTGAGAATGCAAAGCCCTGAGTAGAATCTGGTTTTTGGACAACAAATGCCTCCCAAAGTGCTCATGTCAATTTAAATAGAGGAGAAACAGTGTAGATAACCTGTTATTAGGCCTAACAACTAGAAAGACAAATAAAAGAGTGAAGCAAAAAGAAAAAAAAGATGAATACCAGCTCTTCAAGGCTAGAATAAGATGCTGCGGTACAAGCAGCAATAAAATGCAGATAAGACCCTGCCAATCTTCCGCTAGTGGTCTTGGTTGAAGAGCATCTAATGATTCTTATGTCTTTGACTGATGGATGGGTCCAGGGCACCTTTTTCAGTGGGAATCCCAGTGGGAGATAAATAATTGAGGACAAATTATTGGGATGGCTCAGCTCTCCTCCTCTCTGCCCAATTATACTGTGCTTTAGGTTTCCCTTCCCACTGATTCATAGGCCATTCACAGTAGGTTGATTCTGATATATTTTGTAAAACACTGACAATTTCCAAGATTGCACTGATACAGGGTAACCTCATCCTATCTCCCCTAAACCACAGGAACAGCTGTCTGCACTGATGTGTAGAATAGATGTGATGAGGCTTGTTTCAAGGTTGTTTTCTATTTGTATTGAGATATTTTTATATTGGTTTTAAACCACTTCATTGGATGTGTTGCAATAGCAGATTCCCAGATCAGTTTAGTGTTTACGCCTTATTTAATATTTAATGTTTATTTTACTTATGTGATATTTGTCATTACTGTTCTAATGTAGCACAAATCCTATGTAAAATCATACTACGTATTTTTGGCATTAATATTGAAATCTGAAATATATACAGAAAGTCTTTACTACCATTTTGCAAACCGATGTACCAGTGACAGAGTGGAAAAATACAAAAACATAGAACCAACCTCTTCCTGAGCGGGCTTTGGGATGTTCTGTGGTTGCTGGTAAAGATGCAGTCTGAAATGGTTTAAAAAGCAATAAAAGGATTAATATCTTAAAATGAGCTATTTTGCAATGTAGACAGACAGCAACACATGCAGAGGCTAGATCAATTCAGATAGTCTTGATGTCCGATATGCATCCAGAAAAGACACATACCCATGAAGACAACAATATGTTTTTTAAAACATAATAATTCTCTGTCCTCTCACTTCATAGCAAGAAAATGTGCTCTTCCATTCAAAAACAAAAGACAAAAAGAAGTCCTCACTGAAAGTTAGCTAGGCCAGGTTTCTTCTCCCTGATATTCCAGATTTTTAAATACAGGGATTTTTTGTCAGTGCCATTTTACTATGTGACCTCCCACTGGATTCTAAAGTAACACAACCCAGGCTGCATTTACACTGCCATATAAAATCCAGATTATCCGATTTGATCTAGATTTTATTTATTTATTTATTTATTTATTTATTTATTTATTTATTTATTTACGACATTTATTTGCCACTCTTCTCACCCTGAAGGGGACTCGGAGCGGCAGTGTAGATTCACATTCAAAGCAGATAATGTGGATTATCTGAT